TAACCTTTTTTTCTCTTTATAAGTTGATTAGCTTATATATATTTGTTATAGTGATGAAAAGTTAACTAAAATGCTTATCATAGTGCTTTTAGGATTCATCTATGTTATTCCACATCATTTTTTTCTTTTGTAAAGCTGAATAGCGTTCTCTTATTATTCACAGATCAGGTAGTAGACATTTTTATTATTTCCAGTTTTCAGCCATTATGAATAAAACTGCTATAACTATATAAATACAAATTATTATGTGGACATATGTTTTTATTTCTGGATTTTGAGTATCATGATAAGCAGATGTTTAATCCTATAAGAATCTGCCAAACTGTTTTTCAATGTGGTAATTCCATCTCATATTCCCAGCAGCAATTTATGAACATTCCCATAGCTCCATGCTTGTGGGGTATTTGCCAGCACTCAGTACTCAGTCTTCTTAATTTTAGTCATTCCAGTGAATGTGTAGTGGTAACTCTTTGTGGTTTTCATTGTCACTTTCCTGATGACTAATGAAGTTGAGCAGACTTTCATGTAATGTTTGTCATTCTTCTTTGGCGACATGTCTTAAAATGGTTTATCATTGGGTTTTAAAAATTGGGTTTTGTTTGTTTTGTTGATTTGAAAGTGTCCTTAAATTAAGTGTGGATATGAGATTTTCATTTACACTGTCTTCTAATAGTTTTATATTTTAACTTTTAATATTTATACCTAGACTCATTTCAGGTTAAGAGTTTATACATGATGGGAGGTAAAGATCAAAGTTATTCTTTTTTTAAAATTTTTATTTATTTATTTTAGTCATACATGACAGTAGAATGCATTTTGACATATAATACATACATGGAGTGTACATACATCAATCATATTGTCTATTCTATTCTGCTGCCCTTCCTATCCTCCCTACTCCTCCCCTCCTCTCCAATCCTCAAAGTTATTCTTTTATAGAGATATCTAATTGTTCAAACTCAATCTGGTAAAAAAGACTATCCTTTCCAGATTGAATTATCTTGGCACCTTTGTCAAAAGTCAATTAGTCAAAAATGTATAGGCCTATTTGTGGACTCTGTTTGTTCCATTTATTTATTTTGGTTTATTTTGCTCTCTTTTTCCTAGTTTTTATAAGTGAAATGTTGTCTCCAGGTTCTCATTTACCTTTAAGTATTTTTAAAATTTCATCTCTGATTTTTTTCTGCGATCTATTTGTCATTCAGTAATATATATTTAGTCTCCATGTGTTAGAGTAGTTTCTATTATTTTATCACTGGGTTCTAATCTCATTCCATTATGATCTGATAGAATACAGGCTATTATCTATGTCTTTTTTGTATTTGCTAAGAGTTGCTTTGTGGCATAAGACAGGGTCTATTTTAGAGAAGGACCTGTGAGCTGCTATATATGTCTGTTAAGTCTAAATTATTGATTGCATTATTTAGTTCTACAGTTTCTTTGTTTAGTTTTTGTTTAGAACATCTGTCCAGTAGTGAGAGAGGTATGTTAAAGCCTTACAGTATTATTGTGCTATAGTCCATTTGATCCCTGAAATTGAGAAGGGTTTGTTTGATGTACATAGTTGCTCCATTGTTTGGGGCATAAATATTTATGATTGTTATGTCTTGCTGATGTATAAACCCTTAAGCAGTATGAAATGTCCTTCTTTGTCCCTTTTGATTAACTTTGGAAAAATGTTCAACATTTCTAGCAATTAGAGAAATGCAAATAAAAACTTTCTAAGATTCCATCTCACTCCAGTCAGAATGGCTATTATCAAGAATACAAGCAACAATAAGTGTTGGTGAGGATGCAGGGAAAAAGGTACACTCATACATTGCTGGTGGGACTGCAAATTGGTGCAACCAATCTGGAAAACAGTACGGAGATTCCTCAGAAAACTTGGAATGGAACCACCATTCAACCCCCAGCTATCCCACTCCTCAGTTTATACCCTAAAGACTTAAAATCACCATAATACAGTGATGCAGCCACATCAATGTTGATAGCAGCTCAATTCACGATAGCTAAGCTATGGAACCAACCTAGGTCCCCTTCAACAGATGAATGGATAAAGAAAATGTGGTATGTATACACAATGGAATATTGCTCAGCCTTAAAGAAGAATAAAATTATGGCATTTGCAGGTAAATTGATGGAGCTGGAGGATATCATGCTAAGGTGAAATAAACCACTTCCAAAAAACCAAAGGCCAAATGTTTTCTCTGATATGTGGATGCTTATCCATAATGGGGGTAGGGCTAGAGAAGAATGGAGGAACTTTGGATAGGCCAGAGGTGAATGAGGGTAGGGGAAGAGGTTTGGGGATGGGAAGGATGGTGCAATAAGTTAGAGGTTATTGCCCTATGTGTATGTGTATATATATATATATATATATATATATATATATATATATATATATATAATTGCAAGGCTGCTGTGATTCTGCATCATGTACAGCCAGAGGAATGAGAAGTTGTACTCCATTTGTGTACAATATGTCAAAATGCATTCTGCCAGCATGTATAACTAATTAGAACAAATTTTAAAAAAAGAAAAATATATAAATTTTAATCTCACCATTAAAAAAGTGAAATCTTACATCATTGGTTTGAAACCTACATTCTTTTCTTATATAAATATTTAATTTCAAAAGTTCTTTCTAAATGTCACCTTAGCTGCATCCCATGATTTTGATATGTCATATTTACATTTTGAAAGTATTTTCTAATTTCCCTTGTAAAGTTTTGCTTGATATCTCTTTTAGAGATGTATTCTTTAATCTCCATGCACTTGGGGGGATTTTTCAGATATCTTCCTGTTAGTACATTTGTTTTAGTCAGAATATTCTTTGTATGATTTCAATTGTTCAGAATTTTTTGAGACTTGTTTTATGACCTAATATATAATCCATTTTGGTAAAAGTTCCAGGTTCATGAAAAAAATATGTATTCTCCTGCTATTATATGGAGTGTTTCATAAATGTCAATTAGGACACATAGGTTGAAGTGGTCATCAAGTGCTTTATATCCTTGCTGACTTTCCATGTGATTGTCTCTCAGTTGCTGATAGAAGAGTATAGCAATATCCTGCTGTAATGTGTTTATTTCCCATATCAGTTCTATTGTAGATTTGTTTGTTTCCTCTTTTAGTCCCATCGATTTTGTTTCAGGTATTTTGAAGCTCTGTCAATAGGTGTGTAAAAGTTTAGAATTCTTATGTTCTGTGGGTGAAGTAGTGCCTTCATTATTATGAATGTTTTTCTTTGTGTCGGACAGCTTTTGTTTTACAATTACTTTGTCTTATAGTAACATAAACTAAACATAATTTTTTTTAAGTTTGTGTTTTCAGGGTATATCTCTAAGTAGTCAGTTATATTTTCAAAGATATTAAAAATGAGAAGAATATATTCTATATTCGACACATGCATGTCTTTTCTGACATTCTTCATTCTTTGTGGTATCCTAAGTTATCATAGGTTATCATTTTCTTTATTCCTGAAGAATTAATTCAACATTAATAGTAATTCCAGTCTGTTGCAGGAGGCTGGTGGGTAAATCTGATCTGTTACCATCTTATGGCCAAAAGAGGAAATCAGAGATTTTAGTGCTGCTTTCTGGAGAGCCGTTCTCTGGGCCTCATAGGGCTATGCCATCCACTATTGTGTGAGGATTCTGTTGGACCATAGGAATGTGCCTGCAGAGAACCTCTTTACCTTCCACTTAGACTTATTCTGGATGCTCAGGACCTAGGAATTCTCTATAGCTGAAGGTGGTTTCCAGTTCATCTCTTTTCTCAGATGATGATTATCTTCTTAATGGCAGACATAGGCATAGCTATTTGTCCACAATGTGGACAAATGCACAATTGTGTGGACACTGCACAATTGTGTACACTGGGTGTCAACAGTATGCTAGAGAGTACTTTGTCATAAAGGATGGATCCACATGGAGGAAAGGAAAGAAGGTAGGGTGAGGGATTATTCCCTACCCAAACTATATATTGCAACATGGAATTTTGAGTCTTAGAAATTTAAATTCAAATTGGTATTCTAGGATATTGAAATAGATTTTATTTAAAATTTTTATTAATTTGAAACTTCTAAATAGTAGACCTATGGAAAAATGGGCCTTTGTTTGTACTCTTGCCTTAGTCTCTGTAAATATGAGGTACGAACTGGCTTATTTTCCTTATTAGCCCTTAAATGTGCTTCTCATGTTTGTCCTTTATCCTCTTTCCTTGTCATTTGATAATCCTGGTGATTTTTCCCAAAAGTTCCATTAACACCATTATAGACAGTACAGATATGCATTAAGGGCGGTCCACTAATGAGTTGGGGGCAAGTGGAGAGACAAGCCTCAGAAAGGCTCTCTGTGAAGGGGAGGGAAGAGGAAATCATGCTGCCATTAGACAATAGAATGTTTAACTGCTCACTGAAAAAATTAATGAAGAAATTGGAAGGGGCTGATTAGTGTAATGTATAAATTCCTACTCCAGCACCAAACTTGTTGGGGTCAAATTCTGTTTCTGCCTTCTGTGACTGTGGGCGAGTTTCTCAATCCATTTATGCAATAATTTCCTTGTCTATCCAATCAATATAATAGTAGTAACCACCTCATGGAGTTACTTTGAGGACCAATGACTTCATAATTATGAAGCAATTGGAAGAATGCCTGGCAAAAAGTAGATTCTCAGTGAACTTCAGCTTATAGAATATCAAGGCTCCAGCTGTGTTTTCCATCTGTCTTTCTTGCACATTTCAGAACTGGACGATCTTTACTTGCCCACATTGGATAATCTGTGGTCCTAGCTACAGTTTACTCTAAAGCTTGTTCAATGCTCAAAAATCCTGTTTTTTTTTTCCTGATCACATGGGAAGATATTATTTCCCATTTTTTTTGAGTGTGTGTGTGTGTGCTAAATTGGGACGTGATTGGATTCTGGAAATGTGTACAGAATTTATGTATATCTGTTTGGCACAGTCATAAAATCCTCTACTCTTTACTTCCTTCATCTGCTGACTAGATTATCCTAGGATTACCTTCAATTTGTGAAATGGCCCAGCCAGAACAGAAGTCCATGAGTCACTAAGTCAGAATTTGCAAAGGAACCACTTCAGAGAATCACAAAACCAGGTATTTGCATTGAAATTGAATTAAAAGCATTTTTGAGCCCATAAGATTTTGAGTCATTGTGATAGAAGGTAGCCTATCATATGTAGACATTTGTATGCTGAGGTATGTCACTTTCATAACAACAAATGTATGACATGTGGAACTCACTTAGTAATTGTTCAATGGTCAGTAAGGAAACAAACTAACCACTAGAAAAATGGTAATCTTTTTATGTAGTGGCAAAACATTTGGTAGAGCTTTTTCATGTAAATAGTTGGAAAGTAGAATATGTACCAACTGAAATTGAACTCTAGGAAGAAGAAATGGCAAATAGAACTTTAGTGGTATGGGGTTTTCACTGGCTCTTTGGCAGTACAGGAATACGTTAAGTGTGGTCCACTAATGAGTTGAGGGAAATTGGACAGACAAGATTCAGAAAGGCTCTCTTTTTCACTGGCTCTTTGGCCAGTGAAAAAGCTTGGGAAACAGTTTACTTTGCAAGAATAAATATAAGGGAATACAAAGAACTGGAAATTCAGATTTTTCAGTTATGAAAAAACGGACTGTTTCTAGAATGCAAATGATGAAAAATGGAGCTAACAAGGAAAGAGAACAAAAAGAGAAATGTAGAGGAGGAAGCAAGCAAACAAGGAACTTTAAGCACAAATAGACCAGTAAATCTTTTCAGGTGAGTAAAGTGATTCACACACACACACACACACACACACACACAGAGAGAGAAATCTATCTCTGGGTAAGTTATTCTAATTCAGAAGCTTTACTCTTAAGGTAGTTATTATTAAATTGAAGAGGTTATTGTGGTGGCAAGGAAGCGAGAAATAAAACATATTTTAAAATTATGTCTAAGAAAGATCTTTAAATGTGGTTTCTGGCACATACAACTACCAGAAAGCAACATGATCAGAAGTTTATTCAGTTTTTGAGGAAGTTTTACTTCCAAATAGACAATAAATTAATCAAACAGATAAAATAACCCAGTTTTGATCATTTCAGAGTTCAAACAACCACTGGAACATCAAATTTCCATAAGCATGAGGCTGGCTTTCAAGGATCCCAAAAGGTGTGTTTCCCTCTCCCACTTCACCCATGGACAAGGTGGAGCTCTCAGAGGATGGAGCCAGTTTGCAAACAACAATGGGCAAGATCATTCCTCCCTGGCAGCCTTAGCAAAACCAAAAAATCAAGTGACTTTTCCTACCACCATGTGAAGGGCTCTTTACATTTTCTGCTTACTTTAAAGGACTTCAGAATGGCTGAAGTCTACTGATGTCTGGGCTTTCCCCACTTGTTCTCTTTGTAAAGGGAAGTGTGGTTTGCAGCCTCTTTCACTGTTGCATGCTGGCTGTGTGGGCAGTGATGGTAGACAGATCTTTTTAGTTCATATATTACCAGAATGTTAGAAGCCAATCAAACCTTGATAGAAGAACTATGCATCATCTAGAGATCCTGGACTCTGAATTGGGTATGGCTTTGAATTACCCTTATAGGTGAGGGGAAGAGGAAGAATGGGCTGAAAATTGGATGATCAGAAAGAATTCTGTAGCAGAGATAGGATAGAGTTCCAGAAACTGTATCTCTTCTTCCTGAGCACACAAGAATACTACATTGCCTATTTTCCTTGAAATCAGATTAAAATCACGAGATTAACTTCTGGTCAATGATATATATGTTTTGGAAATGATGTATTCATTTCCAGGATTGGTCACAAAACCCTTTATTCAAGTCTCTGTTCTCTTTACCCTTTATCTGCTGGCCAAAGATGTCAGAAGGAGCTAGAAGCCAGAAGACAGAAACATCCTGGGATCCTGAGGTGATGTTTGGAGGAGAGCCGCCCAGGAAGAGCATCTGAACAGGACTGTCCACCCTGAATTTTTTTCTGTTTTTCTTTTTCCTTTATTCCTTTCTTTTTTAAAAAATATATTTTTTAGTTATAGTTGGAGACAATACCTTTATTTTATTTATTTATTTTTTATGTGATGCTGAGGATTGAACTCAGGGCTTCGCATGTGCTAGGTGTGCATGCTACTCTGAGCCACAACCTCAGCCCTACCCTGAAATTTTAATAAGTGTTAAAACAATCAATTGCAAGGCCATTAGACTGAGAGCTCTGGACCTTGGGCTCCCACTTAAGCAAAGAAAAATCTTATTCAATGCAAACAGTAAAATAAAGTTTAAGCTTAATCAAGCAGAAACTACCAACTAACTTCTAATTAAGGACTTTCTGTTTTAAGCAATCAAATATATTTTCTTGTTCTTCCTTTTGTGAATACATCATAAAAGTTTCTGTTCTTACCTGTTCCCCCAGTGAAGTGTGGAACCACCAGCAGCCTGGTACTTCTCAATTGATGAATCACTGAATATTCAACAAAAATCGTGCTGGGGAGGAATACTGCCCAAATTATATTGTTATATTATGTGCATGTATGAATATGAAATGACAAATCCCATCATTATGTGCAACTATAATGTACCAATAAAAAATGTGGAAAACGTATAATATCCCCAAGTTTACTTTTAACATAAGCAAGAAAATTCTTTGATAATACAATTTTGGGGATGGTAGTTTCAGCAGTTGCTGTCTCCTGAATAATAAACCACATCATAGATGGCAGTGATGGAGGAATCACATCAAATGGCATCTTTTTTTTCCCCTAAAGATGGAGCAAACACTGTTTTACATTCTGATCCAAGAATAACTGAACTCTAAACAGATTCAAAATACTAAATGAGATATATAAGGAGGATTAATGTTGGTAAGGTTTTGGGAATTTATCTTAGTTGTTGAGTACTGAGATTTCAAGAGAGATACCTAAAGAAGGGTGAACATGAAAATAAATCAACAAGTTTTCCACATTAATGTAAATTATTAAGAAAATAATTTTATGTAGATGCAGTGGTGCACACCTGTACAGCAGCTTGGGAGGCTGAGGGAGAATGATCAGAAATTCAATGTCAGCATCAGCAATTTCATGAAGCCCTAAGCAACTTATTGAGATTCTGACTCAAAATAAAAAATAAAAAAGGGTTGGGGATATGACTCAGTGGTTAAGCACCCATGGTATCAAAAAAAAAAAAAAAAGCAGAAAATAATTTTATCTACTAGAAGAAGAGAAGAAGATGACACATTTGTCAGAGTTGTTGGGTTCAAGGATAGCCTTCTCTTTCTAGGGTTCAGCAGAATTCTTTTCACATGGGCTGAACTCTGAAGCATGTTTATGGTGAATATTATTCACTGAGAAATGACCACTGGAATATTGTGTGTGTGTGCGTGTGTGTGTGTGTGTGTGTGTGTGTTACCTCAAGGTCTGCTACTTTCATGACAGGGATATTTTTGAATCTTGATTGGAATAGTCCATGAAAATGTTGCAATTTCAGAATTGAGGGAGCAGAGGCAGCTACAAAAGACCTCGGGGGGCAAGTATTGGTAGTACAAATCCTATAAGTTATTTGTATTGTCAACACTGTATAAATACCCAAGGCTCCAGATGACATTTGCAGAGTGTGGAGAGCATACAAAATCTTCACATCTTACATGTGATTATTAACTGTACCTAGGGAAAGAAAGATCTTCAACCATGAACAGATCCTGAAGATAACATAGAAGGAATCAATGACTTGAGAACACATAAATCATGTCAATTTCTACCAAGAAATAAAATAAATTTTAGATGAGATGTTTTCCTGGAGATATTCATCAGTAGAGGAAGCAAGAATTAATTCCCCAATATAAGTAACCAGGGATAAGAAAAAAAAAAAAAAAACCTCTCCTTCCACTTTATCTGGAATCTAAATAATCAGATTTTCCTCCTCCTCCTCCTCCATTGGAGGAGGATGACCTTATGTTGTCAAACCAATGGTCTACTTTCAGTCATTTTATTTGATCTTCCAGAGACTTCAACATAGTGTTTACTGTCCTTTACTTGAAATAGCTTCTCTTTTGGATTCCAATGCATAGTACTGACCTGGGGTCTTCATGTCTATCCTTGTGCTCCTTCTTACTCTCCTTTGATGGTTTCTCCTCATGTCCCTGACATCTACATTAATGTTAGTGTTCCCCTAGACTTACATTTGGGATCTTTCCTCCTTTCTATTTACACTCATGCATTTGATAACTTCACCTTCTCTCTTGGTTGTAAATACCATCCATATGCTTCTGATTTCCAAATTTATATATTGTGACTGTACCTTTTCTTTGAACTCTAAACTCATATATTAAAATGCCTACTGGATACCTTATATCTATTTTTTTTAAACAGTCATCTTAAAATTTACTCCTGATATTCCTCTGCCAAGGCTCTTCTTATGAGCTCTTTCTATATCCATAAATTACAATTCAGTCTTTCTAGTGGCTTAAGCCAAAGGCCTCAGTATGACTCTTAATTCATCTCTCACACCTCACTTTGTATGAAAGAATGTCTTACAACATATATCCTTCAATGTATATTTTTAAAGCATATCCAGAATACAACTATTTTTCACTTCTGCTTCTGGCTATGATGAGCTAGCGTTTAGCCAAACAATTCTTATTCAAGGTACTAGAAAGTCTGGATAAGATATGAAACAAAATAAATTTGAAGGCATCAGAGAGCTATGTAAGCAGCCAGGCTTTGAATAGCTCAGAGTTCAGAAAGAAGAGAATTTACTGAGCAGGTTCAAAATTTAATGCCATCATTCTTCTCATTTGTTGAATCATAAGCTGTATGGTATACAAAGCTAAGAAGCTCAGCAGGAAGTGGTAGGTAAAAGGCAAAAAAATTGATTAGAGCATCCTCTGTCTCATGGGGGAGAGGCATATATTGAACTTTAGGAATGATAATATAAAGATTTGATGATCAAATATTGTAGAATGAATAGAAATACAAAATAGTGAGTTTTATATTCTACACTGCTTTTTCTCAGAAAATTGTCTATTTATAAGAACTTAGTGATTAAGAGGCCACAATGTTTAGCAGATTTCTCAGACTTATAGTGTCAGGGAGACAATAGAATTCAAGGCCCTTGTAAACACATCAAGATTTCAGTTAAAAACCCTGAAGGTCTACATTCTTGAAATAATGGAGAACTAAAAGTAGATAAGATCTTTCTTTCAAATACTGAAATCTAGTTTTCAATAATTTAAGATTCTGATTGGATTAAGATGAACAACTCCTACTCCAACTTTTTGCCCAAACTTAACTAACAAATGCTCTCTGGGATGACAATAACACCTTCTATCACCTCTCTGTATTTTTTATGACACAATGTCATTCAACATGTCATTCAAGAAAATGTTGGCAACAACACACACAATTAAAAAATTACTTGGCAAGCCAAGAGATGACCAAAATAAAAGTAAAATAGACCCAGAGTTGATCATGTTATTGGAATTATTAGATATGAATGTTAAAATAACTAGAAATAATGATCAAAAATATAAACAATAAAATGGAGATCTTCAGCAAAGAATAAGAATAAATAAGAAGCAAGCTACTGTGCTAGAATTGAAAAATTAAATAATATTAGCTGAGGAGTTCATAAGTGAACTTAACATTAGATTAGACTTGACCAAAGAGTGAGTCAGTAAACTGGAAGAAAGGTAAAAAAGATATATTAACCATAGAGGAAAAAAAAACAATGAAAATTCTAAAAATTGTATAAATAATTATGTGGAATATTTAAAGGGTAGAGCATAAGTCACATGCTAGATGGAGAAAAAAATGAGAAATAAGCAATATTTGTTAAGAAAATAGCTGATAATTTTCCAAAATCAATAAAAGAAATCCAGTCATAGATTTAAGAAGTATTTTGAACCACAAGAAAGATAAATACTAAGAAAATTAAGTGTAACTACATCATAACACAGCCACTGATACAATGTCAAAAATAAAGACTTAAAATAGATAAAGAAGTTGCACTTTATCTTCAGAGAACCGACAGTCTGTGTCAGCTGACCATCTTTAAAATGTTGAAAGAAAATTAGAGTCTATCACACAATAAACATCCAAGTAACAGCAATTGCATGGGTTAAATTTTAATCCATCAGCTATGTTCTAAAGACAAACAGGGAGAGAGAGCTAGCTAGTAAGTCTGTTAAACAACAGACTTACTTTGAATATCATGCCAGATAATGCTAGACATAGGGGTAGCCTCCGTATAAGTATTAGCTAATCATGGCTGGATAATTATTGTACTCTTGTTGCCTCATCCCAGTTTGTTTCCCAATCCTTCAGGAAATGTTTGCAAAGCCTCCTTTACCAGACTTCACAGAGGAAGGGGGATGAACAGTTTGGAACTTTCTCAAGAGTGAAGATGTAAAGAAGAATGAGACAGATGGGATGAATTTAGGAACCGTAAACCTTACTAACCACCAGACTCCAACAATCCTGAAACTTGGGCTCTAGGTCAGTAGATCTCGGAGGGTCACTTAAGTCAAGTACTTTGATGGGAACTGGAAAGGCCAACGGTTAAGGTACACCCAGACCGGATCTGACCGAATTATGATGCATCTGGACAGTGAATCATGATTTGACCAGCTGCTCAGTGTTGCCAGCTGACATGGAGCAGAGTACTCTAACCTAGGCAGGATTGTGAAAAACAGATGGGATGTTTGGGAAGAAATTACCTTATTTAAATGTATTGTATTTGATTTTTTTGTGCGGTATTGTGTTTATTGGTAAAATGGAAAATATTTTACTAGAGTAAGGACCCAGTAGAGAGAATGGCCCAAAGAATACTGCCAGCGAATTTTGGGGGACAAAAGAGGGCTGAAGTGGCATGCTGGAGCCAGCCTCCACTGGCTGGTGAGAGCCAACCGTATACATCTCTTCCCAAGCTCAGATTTGTGATGTATTTGGTAGCTTGAGATCAGAATTGTGGGTCTATTTTACAAA